TTAATTTCCTTTTGACAGTCTCCATTGCTGGTGTATAGAAAGCCACCCTGTTTTTGCATGTTGACCGTATACTCTGCAACTCTGCTAAATTCCTCCATTACCTCTGACATTTTCTTGTAGATTCTTGAGGATTTTCTACATACAGGGCCCTGTCATTTGTGATGAGGGATAATTTTATGTCTTCCTTTCTGATTTGGGAGCTCTGGTGGTGTAACACCTAAGGCACTTGACTGCTAACCAGAACGCTGGTGGTTCAAACCCACCAGCCACTCCTCGGAAGGAAGGTTGATGAATCTACTTCCATACAGATACTGCCTTGGAAACCCAAGGATGGGTCGCCATGAGTCAGATATGACTCGATGGCAATGAGTTTGTTTTTTTGAAGGGGGTGGGAGGGAGTTTCTGATATGGATAATTTTTACTCCTTTTGATTCCTTTATATCCTTTTTATTCCTTTTGATTGGAATGCTTTTCATTCCTTTATATTGCCTTATTGCAGTGGCTAAGACAGACTCCTATAGGGCCGTGTGGGGGACTGAGGGGCAGCATGGAGGCTAGGGGACCAGGGAGGAGGCTGGGGCTAGGGCCCAAGGGGACCCAGGGTGGGGAGGAGGCTGAGGCCAGGGGCCAGGGGCCCTTCAGGATGGAGAAAAGGGCAAGGGGACAAAGAGGGCAGGAGGGAGGGGTGTGAAGGCCACCAGCTCTGAGGGGTCCTGGGGCAGGGGCCGAGCCCGCCCGGTGCTCAGGCCCAGGGCAGGGGCCCGGGAGCCCAGGCAGGTGTGGCAGGGGCAGGTGCTCAGCGCCGGGCCAGGAAACCTACGCCCGCCCGCACAGGTCTTCTCCTTGGTCGTCTTCTCGTCCCTGCTGACCGACGGCTACCAGAACAAGACGGACTCCCCGCAGCTGCACTGCGTCCTTAACGGCAACGCCGTGGCCTGCAGCTTCGCCGTGGGCGCCGGACTCCTCACCTTTCTCAGCTGCCTGGGCTTCCTCGTGCTGGACGCCCACGAGGGCCGCCTCGCCAGCTCCCGCTTCAGGACGGCCATCCAGCTCCTCGACTTCATCCTGGCGGGTGAGCCCTGGGGCGGCGGGGGGCGCGCCACGGGGAACTTCCGCCGCCCCTCCATCACCCCCCAGTCGGCGCCCCATCTGACGTCCCCAGACGGGAGGCGGCTTCGTGGGCCCCAAGGCTCGTCATCCCGTTGTGCTCGCTGCACCTCCGCCCCCCCCCCCCCCCCCCGCAGCTTCCTCCTCGGGGTCCTTACTCACCCTTCGGACTCAACTTAAGCTTCACCTCTTCTGACTCCCAGGCCTGTTATAGGAGCTTCTCCTCCCCTACCGCACCCTCAGACTCCCGAGGTAGCAGACATGATTAGGTGACTGACAGGTGGGCAGTTTGAACTGACCCAAGACAGGCGTGGTGATCTGTCCACGGAAAGGTCCCAGCCTTGGAAACCCTGTGGGCAGTTCCACTCTGGCCTCTAGGGGCGCTGTGAGTCAGAATAGACTCTTAGGCAGTGGGTGTGGTTTGGGCTTTGCTTCTGTGAAGATTGACAGCCTTGGAGACCCTGTGG